AGTGGTTCTCCACCTTCCTAATGCTGCGGCCCTTTAATACAGTTCTTCATGTTATTGCGACCCCATCCATAAAATTGTTTCATTGCTACTTCATAATGGTAATCTTGCTACTGTTATGAATTGTAAATATTATGAGATGCCTGTGGAAGGTCATTGACGCACCCCATCACAAGGGTTTGAGACCCACAGGTGGAGAACCACTGCCTTAGAGGCTTTTAAAGCAAGTTGAAGGAAGCCTGTGGCTAGTGAACAGCCTTTCCCCACAGGTTTTCATGGAGACAAAAGCTATAATCTAAAATGGTGTTCTAAGCCAAGCCTATTCCATCTCTACCACACCCTAGGTGATGCCCACTCAGCCTGGCAAAGAAGAGCCAATAACTAGTGTTTGAAAGTCATCTTGACTTTTCTCCAGCTGCGTCCTTTTTGCCTTAATTATATAGGTGCCCTTGCTTCAGATAATTGAAGAATGGGGTTTCTCTATTCACAGCCCTCTGGAGTCCTCCCCTTCTAATTCGAACCCCTGCTCCCAAACATAAGAAAACTGCTCTTGTCTCTCCCTGCACTGCTTTTATAACCTCCAGGTGTTAGTAGAAGATAAAAGTGACTCCTGGGGTAAGATTTCACCTCCTAGAATTATCAAAGTAAAAGTTTCTCTTGATGTCCTCACTGTGGGTGGCAGTAATTATAATAAAGAATAGTTTGAAATACTGGTTTCTACATTGCTTCAAAAATTTCCAGGCTCTCAAGTTCACTTGAGTAATCTTGCCTGATCGTATGTTGGTCTCATTGAACTTTTGAGACAGATGAGCCTGCCTACCCCGGGGGAAGTCCCACCTCCAACCAGTCTTGGGAGCTCTGACTCTCCATTCCTCCCACTGCTTAGGATAGGGTTCCTGGAAGCTTGTCTTCATCAGACAGGAGCCCAATGGTCTAGCAGAAGTGGTTGAACCCATAAGAGTGAAGGAGAGAGATAAAGAACTGTGATAGTGTCCAAGATGGTTCCTATAGAACTAGAATTAAATTTGTGGTTTCTTTGCCAGGTATGGTGGCACAATCCTGTAATCCCAGCACTCAGGAGGAGGAGGCAGGGAGATCATGACTATCCTCGGCTATACAGGATGTTTGAGGCCAGCCTGGGCTGCATGAAACACTGTCTCAAAAGCAATAATTTTTTAATTACAAAAAAGGGCCAGGCATGGTGGTATATACCTTTAATCCAGGCTGATCTCTGTGAGTTCAAAGCCAGCCTAGTCTTCATAGTTCCAGGACAACCAGGCTACAAGTGAGACCCTGACTTGAAAAAACAATAAGTGATGATGATGATGATGATGATGATGATGAAGGTTGGTGTCAAGTAGTACTCGAAACATCATCCTGGGCTGGCTGAGTGGAAGACTTTGGGGGAGGGGAGATGACGACACACGACTGTTTTGTGTGTCAGTTTTTGGTTCTAGCCAAATCACTGCCTCTCCTAACCTGAGTATCTCTATCTCCAAAGCAAGAATTAGGATGAGTTTTTGTTTGTTTGTTTGTTTGTTTGTTTTAAGATTTTATTTTGAGCCAGGCAGTGGTGTCTTACACCTTTAATCCCAGTAGTTGGGAAGCAAAGATAGGCAGATCTCTCTGAGTTTGAGGCCAACTTGGTCTATAGAGTAAGTTTCAGGACAGCCAAGACTGGTACACAGAGAAACCCTGTCTTGAAAAACAAAATAAAGGTTTTATTTTGGCTGGACATTCAATTGCTTGTTCAGTGGTTGAGAGCACTGCTGTTCTTCCAAAGGACCCAGGTTCAACTCCAAGCACTTCCAGGGGATTTGAAGCCTTAGGATGTGGAAGTAATACAAAGATAGATAAAATGCCCACACACCTAAAAATAAATATTTCTTTAAGAGATTTTATTTGAATTTCAACACTTGGGAGGCAGAGGCAGGTGGATCTCTGAGTTAGAGGCCAGCCTGGTCCACAGAGCACATTCCAGCACAACCAGGGCTACATAGTGAAATCCTGTCTCAAAAAAAAAAAATATTTCTTATGTCTGTATGTGTGTGCATGGACCTGCAGAAACCAGAAGAGGGTATAGGATCCCCTGGACCTAGAGTTACATACAGTGCTTATTCTGGGGTCCTCTTACCCACCGAGCCATCTCCAGCTCCCAGATTGAGTGCCTTGTTTGTTTTGTTTTTGTTTTCCAGACAGGGTTTCTCTGTGTAACAGCTCAGGCTGTCCTGGCACTTGCTCTGTAGACCAGGCTGACCTCAAACTTGCCTCTGCCTCCCCTACCTCCTGAGTGCTGGGATCAAAGGGAAAAAGGCGTGCACCACCACCTCCTGGCAGAATGAGTGCTTTCTAAAGGCCCTTCCTATCTTTAGTTTAGTTCTTTTCTTAGAGCTCCTGGCTACAGAGTACAGGTGTCCCAGACAATCAGAAGTCTCAGTCCACAAAGCGGGTGAAACTAGGTGGCTGTGGTGGGAAAGTGAGATGGCAGTAGAGAGGAGGTGCCTAAACTCTTCCAGACCCCTGTGCTCCTTCCCTGTGACACCCTCAAAGCCCCTGACCGAAGCAGAGGGAAATCTCTCCTGCCTTCGCAGGACACAGGTCTATCACACTGCGTGCACCCAGGAAAGGAGCTGAGGAATATTCGCCCCAAGTTTCAATCCCAGCAGAGAGCAGCTTCCAGCTCATCCAGGATGCTTGTTGTTCTCTGTGCTCTGTTTGTCTACCATTAGGCAGAAGCCATTTTTATTTCCCTTTGGTAGCTGCAAATGGGTCATGTCTGCAAAGTAGCAAGCAACAGAATGTCCACTGGCCTGCCAGCCAGGAAGGTGGTGCTGGTAGAAGTCTGCCCTGCTCTTCCCAGTGATGTTTGATAAAGGAAATAAAAGAAGAGAGGATGAGGGCAACTTTTAAGGAGGCCTCTGAGAAGGTGCTGATATAAACCAATAAATATTCTGAAGCCAAGCTTGGTGGTGCACACCTTTAATCCCAGCACTCAGGTGGCGGCAGAGGCAGACAGATCTCTGTGAGTTCAAGGCCAGACTGGTCTACATAGTTCCAAAACAGCCAGAGCTACACAGACCCTATCAGAAATAAAAGGAAAAAAAGTCCCTTTGCAAGTTTGGCATCCAGGAAACTTCAGGGCTGCTCCTGAAGGAACTGTCTCTCAACACTTGTTTTCAGCTTGCTGACAAGGCTCTAAATTTAAGCCAATATTGCCCTACAAATTCCTTCCCAACCTGAGATTTGCAGGAAGGACCTTCTGTTTATCTACAGCCACCCCTACCCCTAAGGAGGCACATAAGCCAGACCTTTATAGCTTGCTTTTGTTTTTTTCCTTTGAGACAGGGTTTCTCTGTAGCTTTGGAGGCTGTCCTGGAACTCCCTCTGTAGACCAGGCTGGCCTTGAACTCAAAGATATCCTCCTGCCTCTGCCTCCTCAGTGCTGGGATTAAAGGTATGTGCCATCACTACCCAGCTATAGGTTGCTTTCTTTTTTTTTTTTTTTTTTTTTTTTTTTTTTTTTTTTTTTTGGTTTTTGGTTTTTCGAGACAGGGTGTGCCACCAATGCCCAGCCTATAAGTTGCTTTCTAAGCAGTCGAGTTTGTGATGGGTACCTGTAGTCCCAATACTTAGAAGCTCAAGTGGAAAGATCACTTGAGCCCAGGAGCTTGGGTAACATAGGAAGACCCCTTCTCAGCAGTCACAGAAACAAAACACTGTGTCTGTGGGAAGGGCCACCCAGATACAGTCTAGAAAGCTCTGTGATGGAGCTGACCCTAAGGGAAAGAGGCATTGTATTGGAGGCCTGGATGACCTGGCCTAGACCTGATTGTCCCCTGAAGCCACAGTGCTACTCCCCCCCACCCACACACAGTGTGTGTGTGTGTGTGTGTGCGCGCTCAAGAGTGAGTATGTTCCACCTTGAGGCACTGTTCTCAACGTGTATTATCTCATTTAATGTTATGTGTTAAGGACTAGAGTTGTAGATCAGTTAATGGAGTCCTTACCTATCATGTAGGAAGCCCTAGGTTCAATCCCCAGTACTGCATAAACCATATGTAGTGGCATACACTTGTAATCCCAACACTTGAGAGGTAGACTAGAAAGATTAAAAGTTCAAAAAAGAAAAGATTTAAAAAGAAAAAAATCTGAACCAGCAATCAGGTGGAAGAGACAGGTGGATCTCTGAGTTTGAGGCCAACCTGGCCTACATGAGTTCCAAGGTTACCAGGGCTACAGAGACCCTGTCTCACAATGACAAAGGTATCATCTGACCTTGAATTGTATTTAGATCGCTACCCTCCTCCTTTTCCCAACTACTTCCTTCCAGAGCACCCCTGAATATCCCAGGTCAATAATTTCCTCTGTGATCTCTGGGCTCCTCTCAGGCAGGCTAAGAGCTCTTTAAAAAAAGAAAGGCAGGCCTGTGGTGGTGGAGCGCGTCTTTAATCCTAGCACTTGGGAGATAGAGGCAGGGCTACAGAGCCAGCTCCAGGAA